GTCTCAATAATGCATTACGACCCGTATCCGCATTCGAAGAATCAAACAATAGACTACATTACTTATAGTCTACCGGGTACCCACACGCATCATACGACATACACTACTATCATATTATTAATATAATATAATATTATTTTTGTATTATTTATAAATGCATAGATAAAGATAATACACAATAAATCCAATCAAGATCAGTGATCTGTTTACTTTTTAATATTGCATGATTTAGTATATCAACATATAGGTATGTAGAAATTTAAGTTGCTATAGTGTGATAATAATTATTCAGTGTAGCGTTTTTAATTTTTAAATTTTTAAACAATTCATATTTTTTAAATACATATTTTTAAAAACGATTTATCTTGTAAAAGCATATTTTATTTTATAATAGATAGTAATAAATATAGCAAAAAATAATAATAAATATATATAGGTATACCGTTACCTACCTTACATATTTATATATTATTATGCAAATATTATTTAGAAAGAATAACTTATGGTACCTAGTAAATAAATATAAAAATGTAAAAAAAACTAATGTTGGACATAATTACAATTCAATTTATACAAAACATAAACTGTAAAAAATAGGAACCTAGTTTATTAGCTTAACTCTTTCAGTCCATCTCTCAATGGTAAATTTCTATCATAGCGTGGATCAATCATTTCAGGTAATAAACAATTATTATAAAAGTTAACTAAATGGGGTAACATTTTTACTTCCCAAAAATTGTCATCTCTTTTTATTTTTTCATAAAGGATACCTCGAGAAGTCCAAATACAAAAATAGCAAAACTTTTTTTTTGAGATGTGGAGTTGCCCCTGTACTTGATAATAATAAGAATTCGTTCGTTTGAGTTGCATTTTTCCATTTATTATTTCGCAACTCTTTATTTTTTTTTTTGCAATTCCTTCTTCCGGCGATATATCTTTAGCGCTTATTGGACATTTGATTTCTACTAAAGAATCCTCATCTATTAGGCCATCTGGAGAAGCAGCTAGAAATGGTAATTCATAATCAATAATTAATCCAGACGACCTTATGGGTTTATTTATAATGTTAGACAACGCCGACTTCGCATTTTCTTCATTTTGTATCCCATATTTTGTTGCGTCGTTACCACAAAAAGAACCGTATAAAATATTTGATACAGTCTTGGCTCGCGATGTTTTGGGTCTAAGTTTACATATATTTCCAAAGACAGAGGCGGTCAATCTTTTTTTTCTATGTACATGCCACTCCATACATGCATTTTGTCCTTTCGTATCTAAAATTAAAATATATATTGTGATAAGTATTATTATTTTATTCAAAAATAAATACATGTTGTACATACCTTTTTCAATTTGTTCTATTTGCGCTTGCGTTACGTTCAATTCCGATAAAAACAATATTTTTTTAGCATCATATTCGTGTTTAGGCATATCTGCAGATGTTTCTATGTCTGCTGTTGCTCCGTAATGCTGATCTGGTCCCGATATTGTTTTTTTGTAAACTTGAGGATTGAATAATCGACGTTTACTTCTCTGAATACTTTTTGAATTAGATTTTGAAATAAATTTTTTAGTATACAGACCCGGACTGTATTTTGCAATTTTTTTATGTAACAAATGCAAACGTCTAGGTCCTGCATTGTAGGATGTTACTGCAGCGTTGCACCGTAAATTATACGATCCACGAAGAGAAAAATTTACTCGCTTACCACCAATAAATTTCGCTAAAATTGAGTTGTAAGACTCTGCTGCATTATTACTTACTTTGTACAATAAACTTTCGGCATGATATAATACAAGACTTTTCGCTGCAACTAATTCTTCCCAAATACCCAACGATTTCATTTGTGGCACTAAATTTATTTCGCCGTCTTTTTGTCCTTTGCAAAAGTAAAACTGACAATTCGTATGATCACCAAAAACATGACTTGGTCCATTTATTAAATCTTTTTTTAAATTTAATAATTTATGTTCAAATGATATATCTTCATGTTTTCTATGTTTTACAGCTTCTGTTATTGCATACCTAAGTCTAAGAATTCTATCTTTTATTGCTTGTCTTATATTTCCCGGAATATTTACGCCTCTTGTAGTTCTTCTTTTAGTAGATATGTCTTTTAATTTATTTACATAATTGCGCAGTATATGGTTGGAACATTCAATTTTTTTAATCATAAAATTATACCCGTATGGTTTAGCTAGATGTAGTCTTTTCATCACGCTGCTATCTCCATCACCTAAAATTAAAATATGTGGTTAAAAATAGCGCTATCAATTTTTTTAATGTTCAACATTAATATTAAAATATAATCCAATTTAAATAAATACCTATAAGCTTAGAGTATATCAGATTATGCATATCAATACTTCTTTTAAAACCTTCTACAATAATATCTGCTTCCATAGCGGTTGAAGGCAAGTTCCAATTTTTGAAGCAAAGGTGTTCTTTAGGATCTATATTATTTTTAGACGCTCTCTGGCAAATACAACAATACTTATTTCTTACGCCAATGAATAAAACTTTTTTTGTTTTAGCTCCAATTATGCAGGCCTACAAATATTGATAAATAGTCAATTTAATTGATCGCATTATGAGCTTATCAAAATAAGGTCGAATTGTATTTTGACAATAAAATAAAATAAAAACATCTGTGTAAAAAAAAATATGCAGTCTAAAAACTTGAATATTTAAGTTGTTCTTAACGATTTTAAACAATTTTAAAATTTATTTGTCATAATTTTTTTTTTTTATCAACGTTATTAAATTTAACGAAATATGTTAAAATAGCAATTTCTTCAAATTTTTAAAATAGACTTTTCTTTATGTATAAATAAAGTATAATTATAATGATTTCCCTAGAAATTTTAAAAATAATGAATAGATGAAATATTTATATTTATAACTAATTTATATTATAGGTATAATTACGTTTTATGTNTCGGACCGATTGCACCGATAGGGTCATATAGGCGTGCTATCGTGGACAGAATGGACCGTTTTGTAATGTCGCCTTCTTTCACACTGGTATGATATCCAAAAATATCCGACTTCGTGTTCCAATGGAGACCCAAAATCTTGACAGACTGATCATCCTTTGCATCAAAGCATGAATCTTGTGCACGGTCTTCTTCCTGAATATTCATTAATACAGATGGACAGTTGCTGGCCCACTTTTTTAAGCTGAAATTGCCCCGACGTAGAAGAGATACCACTTGTTCCTTTAATTGAACAATTCCTTCCACTGTGTCTGCGCCAGCAATAATATCGTCGACGTAAGTAGATGTAGTCAAAATATTGTTAGCCAACGGGAACAATGACCCGTCCTCTTGATTTAACTGATGAAGACACCTTATTGCCAAAAACGGTGCTGCATTCACGCCGTAGGTTATGGTGCACAATTTAAATTCTCGAACTTCTTCATTCGGTGTGTCCCGCCACAGAATATGTTGATATACTCGATCTTCTTTGCATATGTTAATCTGTCGGTACATCTTTTCTATGTCAGCGACAAATAGATATTTATGAAAACGACTTCGTAATAATACATCACTTATATCGAGTTGCAATTTGGGACCCGTCACCAAACAATCATTTAAAGAATAACCCGTTGAAGTTTTTGCCGATGCGTCAAAGACGACGCGTATCTTCAATTTGCCATTATTGCGTTTGGCGACGGCATGATGCGGAATGAAGTATTTTCCGGGAGTACTTGCAGGTTGCATATGGCCAAGTGAAAGGTACTCGTTCATGAACTGTTTATAAGCTGAATATAGTTCGGGATCCTTCATTAAACGGCGCTCAAGGTTATACAAACGATTTAATGCCATTGTTCTAGAAGATCCGAGTTTCACCGATCCTGTATCCGGTACTTCGACTTCTGCTGGGAGATTGATTCGTGTTCTGAAAGGAAGAGCGACAACGAACCTGCCTGTCGACTCCCGAGACACAGTTTTTTGAAACCAATTCTCACATAGCTCGTCTTCGGTTGTCTTGATAGCCGGAGATCCCGGTTCTTCCACTGTCCAAAACTGTTGTAGCATCTCTTCCACAGATGGCGTTGAAGTAATTGTTAATAATGTTGAGGACGATGGTGTGACATCTTGTAAAGGACCATTAATAACCCAACCGAGATGTGTATGCATAGCCGACGGAAGTCCAGGACTATTGATGATTTCAGCCTTCGAGAATAATAGCATCGGGTATACATCACAACCAATCAACATGTCAATAGGACCGGGACAATCAAAATTTGGATCCGCTAGATGTAGATGTCCATAACGACGCCTCACAGCATTAGGTAATGGTTGACTAGGCATTAAACTAGTAATCTGCGAAATGACGACCACGTTGGTAACATTGAATCGTGGATACTCCGACAACGACGGGATGAAATCGCATTGCGTGACGCCCTTTAAACGAGTGATTAATTGTTGCGAAAGCGCATAAACATCATTGCGGTTCTTGTGGCGTTTCAGTCCTAATTTAGTTGCACAGCTTAATGTCATCGCCGACACTTGCGATCCGTTGTCCAGTAAAACTCGAATAGGATGTAACAGTCCAGCGTCATCTCGCACTCGAATAACAGCGGTACCCAACACCACAGTGGTTTCAGCAGATAGGTTGCCAGAAAAGCTTGCCGAACTGCCTGTCGATTTTTGGCTGGTACTTTCGGTGTGGACGATGGCATTCTCCGATTTTTTACTAGCATCAGCCGGCTCCGAGGGTAAGTGTAGCATGGTATTGTGTCGACCTTCACATTTCTTACACGTGTATGTGGTTGTACATTTATTCGCCGTGTGTCCTGAAGCCAGACAAATAATAAACACAAAGACTTATCGGTGACAAACTTTCTGCGATCTAATACTGGTTTTCTTTTAAAAACAAAGCAACGATAAAGCATATGATCGTGCTGACAACATAAACATTTCGACGACTTCGGCGAAGATAACGTTGCGAACGAGGACTTACCAGATTTCACATTTTTAACCTTTTTTGAAATCTTATCCAACATTTCTGGTTTATCAGTGCAAATGCTAATATTATCTAGTATCTTACATCGCTCAGATACAAAATTTAATAAACCGTCCAAATTCGGTATGGCTGTCTGTGATATACTGGCTTCATATAACCGCCTAGTTTCAGCATCCAACACTCGTGCTCCCATATAAAATAACAAGAACCCTGAAATATCTTGTATACCGAGCGCCGTTATTGCTGCGACATTTTCGCGGAATGTATTTAAGAAAGCAGATAAAGACGTAGCCGATTCCGTCTTAAGCGGACTGAACGAAAATAATTTATCTAAATGCGCGGTTGCCAACAAACGCGGATTTTCGTAACAATCGTGTAATGCCTTCCAAGCTATGTTGTAGTTATCCGAAGTCAACGGAACCGATTTTACTACAGTTAACGCCGGACCAGACAAACAAGATATCAAATAATGGTACCGCTCGATATTTGATATTGATTTATTTTCATGTACTAACGATCGGAACATGTCACGAAAATAACACCATTGAATTACGTCACCGTCAAATTTAGGTAACTCAATTTTAGGTAATGACATAGTGGTTCCGCCAAAACCACTACCGTTTTGAAGCGGCATTCGATCAGTGGTACTCGCTGCTAACCGTACTAATTCAGCGATCATTCGAATATGCCCACATAATTCCTCCACCTCCATTGTTATTAACAAATCTATACCATTAAATTCGTCCTGTTGACCCAAATCCAACATAATGTTCAACACTTCTTGCTGCTGCGCTTCGAACTGATCGGCGTATTTATCCAGTGATAAAAAACGCGCCATAAACGATGGTTGCTTTTCGACATCTGTTCGCGCCTCTTTAGCCAACGTATCTAACATACGAATTTTTAGAAGCGTCATATCGCGCGAAGCACGTGAGCGTAATATTAAATTCGATTCCGGAGTCACCGAGGTAGTTTCCGATTTACGCTTTGGACGACCCATAATAAAAAAAGAAGAACAACGTAGGAAATGACAATTACAATAATAATAATAATAATAACAATATCAGTATTTTAGCAATATAAAATATATCTAATCCTATCCGGTTCGACGGACCAAAATGTAGTGTATGTACCTAACTAATAGCCAAACAACAGGAATAGTGTATAACAATAATAATTAAAACACCTGATTGATTGTCATAGAATAATTGTGGACTGTATTAACTCATNCCCCTGTTTTCAATAATTATTAACCTTGATTTTATTGTGATATTAATTAAATTATTAACTTACAACTCCAGAAAGTGCATTGTATTTCGTTTTGTAAGAGCGTTTAGACCAAGCACCATCTGCAATCACTGCTACCATTGGTCTACCACTGACATCAACTTCATTATTTTGTATGGCAATCTTTGCTTCTTCCTTACCAGCTAGTTCGATTTCTTCCCAAGATATCTCATTGAAGTACGTAGCAATTTCGTTGTGCAATAATTGATATTTATCATTAGACATAACTGGCATGTTTAAGATAGCTCCCAATTCTTCTATCTGCGCATGTCTAATTATACAAAATATAAAGGGTTGGAAAAAAAACATACTAATACGAAAATTTTAAATAAAATAATTTACCCTTGTCCTATATTCACTGCTGCTGATACAATTGCTAAATTGGTATTAAATTTGTTGGCAGGATCTTCTGAATGTATCACCTCTATTTGATTGCAAAAATTACATTTAAAATAAAATGAACTTATGCATCCATTACGTATTTCATGAGTAAAAATTAAATTTTTAAAAGTGCACCCAAATGGATGTGAAAACGATTTTATTGTATTGAATATATAATTAATGTCCACAATTCGTCTTCCTTCTAGTTTCACATCTGCTAGATTGCAGCTTTGATTTAAATCTAGAGATAATGCCAAGTCTTCCGTGTCATTCATATTCGTGGTTCTAAAAGTATATTAAAATTATAAATAATACTGTCTAAATTAATATACTTATTACTTTGATAAAAGTAGATAAACTTATGAAGAATCTTGTATTGAATTTTCAAACCTTATATTTAAAAAGATAAATTTTTATGAATTTCTTACTCAAAATAAAATTTAAATTGCAAATTTTCGCGATTTTTACGTATTTTGTCAAAACTGAACTTTAAATGCTTATTAAAACAATTGTGACTATGTATTTTTAATAATTTTTAACTGTCGTTGTAGCTATATTATATTATATATCTTTCTATATATTAGGAGCCTTGTATTAAAATTTGAAGCTTTTTCACCAAACGAATACAATTTTACTGTAATTTATAAAAAAAAACTAAAAAGATCGAAAAGTTCAAATTTTTATAAACAACTTAAAAAGATATTAAATATTTTGAAAATTTTATCTAGCATNGGCGGGAGGAGAGTAGGGGGTACGGTGTACGTATCAACGGCGAAAAGACGGCGATTGCAAAATAATTGAATAAATGTCACAACATACCGCCCACCTGAAGGACATCTCTCCTTCATATATCTAGTGGTAATAGACACAACTTTGCGGCTGGACGTTTGAATAATTTGCCGTCTGCATCACGAACTGTGGCCACACGTACTACGCCATCTTCATCCGGGTGGACTTCCACGACCCGTGCAGTTTTCCAAGTGAGAGGGGGTGTTGGTTCTTTGACAATGACAAGGTCTTCGATCAGGAGATTACGTTCGTCCTTGTGCCACTTGGATCTTACTTGCAAGGTATGTAGGTAATCTTTCTGCCATAGTTCCCAGAAGTGTAGTTGTATTCGTTGGACAAGAGCCCATCGTTTGTGAAGTCCGAGTCTTGAACTGGTAGATGAGGTGGTAGGTGCAGGTAGCGTACCCAGAGGTCCCATAGTTAAGAAATGTCCAGCGGTCAGAGGTTGAGGATCGTTTGGGTCCGAGGACATGGCTCCTAGAGGACGCGAGTTAAGTGTGGCCTCTACTCGATGAAAAATAGTATTTAATTCTTCATAGGTTAATATTTGGTCGTGGATGGTACGATGAAGTAGCGTTTTTGCGGACTTAACCGCTGCTTCCCAAAGTCCGCCCATGTGTGGGGCGGCTGGTGGATTTAAATGCCATTGAATTTGGCGTTTATCCAGATCCGTTGCTGTGGTTGAAGAGTCAATAATATCTTGGACTTCCTTTAAATAGCGTTTTGCTCCTACGAAGTTTGTTCCGCAATCGCTGTAGAGGTCAGTACATCTTCCACGACGACTAATAAATCGGTCAAGGGCCGCGAGGAAGAGAGCGGTTGACAAATCACTGACGAGCTCCAAATGGACCGCACGAGTTGCCATACATACAAAAATACATAAGTACCCTTTTGTCGTCTGGATCCGTCTTAGAAGAGCGGCTTTTACGAAGAACGGTCCAGCGAAATCAACACCCACGTGAGCGAATGGTTTTGTACCAACTAGTCTTGGCTTCGGTAGGTCTCCCATACTAGGCTGCAAGGGCTTCGGACTGGCTTTGAAACAGGATACGCATTGACGGAGTCGTTTTCGTATGAAACTTCGAGCGGAAATGATCCAATATTCTTGTTGAAGAATGTTCTGAGTTGTTTGAGGTCCTGGGTGACAATGTTGACGGTGGATAAAATCGATTAATAGTATCGTCAACTGGGAGTTCTTCGGTAATAAGATAGGATGGCGATTTTCAAACGGTAAATCCGCCTCGCGAAGTCTCCCGCCCACCTTGAGGAGACCCCCGATTGGGTCTATAAATGCTTTCAATAATCGGAGTTTTGTTGAACAGTTTCGACCTGCAGTAAGAAGTTTCAAATCCTCTGCGAAGTGTACCCGCTGTACCCATCGTAATAAAGCAAGTAACGCTTCATTTTTCTCTTTTATTCCGGGTGATTGGTTTTCATCAAATACCATTGGTTGGTGGCCTAAACGTCTCCGGAGCCGTAACCAATATGCAGTGAGACGGAGGACTTTAGGTAGGTCAGTTGATGAGGTTAAGAGCTTACTCTCTTCTTCAACTTGGACGGCCAGTAGTATCAAGGGCTTTTCTTCGACATTGTGTTCTCCCGGTTCGACAGTGTTGAAGATGGTTACTTGCGGCCATGTTTCCGAAGGTTGAGTAAGAAATTGCGGACCGGTCCACCAAATAGGGTGATCACTTATTTCTTTCGGAGTCAGGCCACGAGTGGCACAGTCTGCTGGATTTTGTGCAGTGGGTACATGCCTCCAGCTGTCAGATGAGGTCATATGCTGAATTTGAGCGACGCGATTCGCCACAAACGTTTTCAATCTTGCCGTTGGCATTTGGAGCCATGTGAGCACTACTGTGGAGTCACACCAGGCAGTGACGTTTGTGATCTGCAATGAAGTTAAATTGGTTCGTACATATTCAATAGTCCGGGCGAGGAGTAAAGCGCCACAAAGTTCGAGTCGCGGAATCGACAATTTCTTTTCCGGTGCTACTTTTGACTTTCCCATGAGAAGGTGACATTGAGTGGTATTGGTTGATCGTACCAGAAGATAAACTGCTGCAGCGTATGCTATTTCTGAACTGTCACAGAACCCGTGAAGCTCGTACGTACCCTTTTCTGTGGTCACTTGACGTGGTATTTTGATCAATCCGATGAAGGGCAGCTCTTCATGATATTGGGACCATACTTTGGTGGCATCCTCCGGAATCTGATCATCCCAACCAACTCCAATGGACCACAAATATTTCATGAGGCATTTTAGGCTAGTGATGACTGGTATCAGCAGTCCAATCGGGTCGTAAATGCGTGCAATTTCTGATAGGATAGCACGCTTACTAAAGCGTATAGGATTAGGTTGATATTGGTATGCCAAGATGTCGGGGTTAGGTTCCCATTTTAACCCGAGAATTTTGGTGTAATCTGACGTAGACTCATCAAAGTTAACCTGGTCTGTTTGGCGACAGTCCGGCGGGACGGCCTCTAACAACGCAACAGAATTGCTAGACCATTTCCTTAGTTCAAAACAACCACGGTCGAATACCTTTATCAGATCTTGCTGCAATTGAAGAGCATTTGATTCACTGTCGGCTCCAGTAGCGACATCGTCCACATATAAATCATTGCGGATGATTCGCTCAACAGCTGGGTAGTTCGTGGCTTCGTCAGTTGCCAATTGATGTAATGTCCTTATTGCCAAAAACGGCGATGAACGTTGACCAAACGTGACAGTGGACATCTCAAACGTTTGCACTGGATCGGAAGGTTTAAATCGAAAGGTTAGGTTAGGTTAGGTTATATAATTTTACATAAAAATGTGTAACATTTCTATAATAATATTTTGTGAAATTAATATCTAATATGACCAGTGACTCAACCGAAAGCAATTATGTCAGGTTTTTAAATTTAATTGTACAAACATTAACTTCACTTACTGTTTCGAAATATAATGGACTGTATAAAAATCAAAGCAACACGGTTGTGGTTAAGTTTCATTTGCCGGATTGACGGCCTACTATTTTAAATAATACACAAAACAAAAACAATAATAATAATAATTGATAATTGGGGGGTGGGGCACAATTGGTGCTGGCCAGCTGTGGGGTAAATAATATTATTGTTGTTTAACAATAATCTGAACAAACAAAAAATAACATGGTAATATGTTATAGTAAATAATAACACATAAATATAATAGGAACCTGAAGGCAATCCGTGATCAGGCGGTGAGGTGGTACGGTGTGGTAGATAGTCGCTGCAACTGAAGACGGTAAAGTAGGTGTAGTTGGCAGTGGTGACGGTAATGACAGTGGTAGAACAAAACAAACAACGGTGTTTAGTGGTACAAAAACAAAATTAACAACAACAACAACAACCGACCGTTATTGCGGCCCTCGAACGACAGCACGTAAAACGTACAGCACAGCTGCACACGCAGTCCGTGCGATAGGGTATGGCGGGAGGAGAGTAGGGGGTACGGTGTACGCACCAACGGCGAAAAGACGGCGATTGCAAAATAATTGAATAAATGTCACAACACTTACCTTTTTTTTTACAAGTGCACCAATATTTCCTTTATTTTTTCTGCTTTTACTCGGAAAACATTTTGATTTTTTACCCATACGCCAATTTTTCGTATTATCCATCGTTAAAAATATTTGTAAAAAGGTAGGTAAAAAAAAATCACAATATGTTCAAATTACAATCAAAAAATAATAACTGTCTAAGGAGTAAGGACTAGGTTTATGACTGAGTAAATGCGAATTTGCAGTTTTGTGGTGTATTATAGAAAAACATTATTGTTATTATTAGACTAATATTATAATCTGATAATTATCGAAAATTGTTTCTCGGTAAATGGTCGGCATCCGGTCAACGCGCGACGATCCGGGTAAACGTCGCGTAATTAATTGGTTATCGAAATTTGGCGTTCTCGCACTCGCAGGCTCATGTCAGGTTAATTTATATTAGGAAAAAGTATTCAGTTACTCTTCGTGTAAAAACATACTTCGGCTGTGTCAAAATTGTGGGACTTAGATTGGTGTGATTTTAATTCTGTAAAAATCCTAAAAAAATTTAACACCTCCTCTAAAGAACGGACGAAGAGTTTTTTTATAAATATTAATTTATTCAATACATATGATTGAATGAAAATGTTGTAAAAACTGAAATTTGCATGATATTATAATACTGTCAAAAGTTAAAACTTAGAAAAATTACTCCGACGGTTCTACAGAGTAGATGTTAAGAAATGTTATTATTTTTACAGCATTAAAATCGAACCATCCGAAGTCTCACAATTTTGTCATAGCGGGACTTCTAAAAACGATTTTTTTTGATCGACTGGAACCACCTTAACTCCTTTTGTTCCAAGCAATTTATTCAATATCCATTTCATAATTCCTAAGTAAAGCAAATGCATAGAATCTAAAAATACTGAGTTAATGGGATCAAAGTGTGGTATATCTAATAAAGGTGATCTTTCTTCTAAATGGTGTTCAGCTTGACTTTGTTTTATAAAACTTTTTTTAGAACGTCGCTTAGAATTTACACTGGTATACACCCTTTTTTTGTTTTTAGTCTTGCCTCTGGTTTCACAACGCTCACAAGCATAAAAGCCTCCATGACCCTTACATTGTTTTAAGAACGATCTTGCAGGTGTGTCACAAGTAAATCCAACAATATCTACTTTAAATTGTCTATATCCAATAGTCACTCCATTCTGAACTAAAACTTTAACTTCTTTAACAAAATCGTCCAAAAATTCAACTATACTCTTTGGTTTTGAATCACCTTTGTAAACAGACACAATAAATGGTTTTGATTTGTACTCATTGTGCAGAATAAGTCCTGAAATGGGCCAAAACTGTTGGTTTGAATGATTGAACAAAGGCAAACCATCTATGTTAAACAATAAACGTAGATTATCATCAACATATTCGTCAATTATTATTTGTTTTAAATTTTCTTCAATACCAAAGTATACATAGGAGCCATTAGTGTTCTTTGAGCTCATTATAGTTTTTATATTTTTATTTGATTTTTTTTCAATAAAGCAGCTGCTGATTTTGGCAGATCATAGAAATGTTCAGTCCGTAACAAGTCTAATAAGCCATCTATTGTTTCAATGGTTAGGTTACTTCTGAACCTAACAGCCCAGCTTTGAAGTTTATCACGGAAAGTAGTTGCTGTATCATTTTCATCTTGATTTAAACTTCCTCCACTAGAGCTTCCGTCCAAGTTTGATGATTCCAGAGAAGATGGATATGAAATCGGAGATTCATTATGATTTAAGGTGACATTATCTGGAGATCGGTTAGTATACTCAAAAGAGCAATTTGTCAAATTACTAATATTATTGTATTTTAAAGAAATATCTGAGGAAGAATCTGAATTTTCAATTATAATTTGTTCAACAACACTTGATTCATTACTTGATATCATACACAATTCTTCAATAGCTGACCGTTTCAATTGGCGATGTTTTTTTAATCTATTATACGAAGACCTTAAACCTTCTAAAAACACTCAGTATAATTTCCAATCACCCAATAACAATAAATATGTATTAAAAGCAACCTCTGCAAATTATTCAGTTAGGTATACCTAATTAATAGAATAAAATATATAAAATGTTAATTAATAATATTTACCAAAGTAGATATGTGCTAGTGTGCTACTGCTTTAATGATTTCAATAAATTTAATGAATTATTCTGATACGGTTAACAATTTTTCGAGAGTTTTGAAAATAGTTTTGTTGTGTAACCTGTAAAAAGTAAAATATTGGCTTATATTAACACTAAATTCAATCAGTACCTATATGATATCAATGATTACTAATTCTATTAAAACTTGAAAATAAAAAGCATAATTTATAAACATAGGTCCTATCTAGATACCTTTATTTTGCTATATTTAAAACAGCAAATTTTATATTTTGTATTTATTTACTATTAACATAACATTATCAGAAGAGTTTAACAATCGTACCTTTTTATAGATGTCTAAGGTATTTAACTTATTTAATTATGTAATAAATTTATAACTTATAAGTTATAAGATTGTTCATTAACTGACACTGATTCATCTGTTACAATAATAATAATAGTATTTACTTTAATTAATAAATGAGGTGAAAAAATTATATTTTATAATTACATAGGTAGATTAGTTAGTTAGTTAAACATAGTAGGTACAAAATATAAATGACTATAATGCTAAAAAAACATTTTATAATTTTATTGTTATTTTCAATTGTATTTTTAAGTTAGTTATATTTTTTTGTTATTTAGATAGGTACTTAAAAGACAGTTTATTGACTTTTAAGATAAACAGTCTTTATTTTGTTTTTATAAGATGATTTGGTACCTGGTTTGCTACAATGGTTAAATGGTTTAATGGTTTTATTGTTATAGGTACCTGTCACTACCATTATAAACTGTTTTTTCTAGTTGAACTATAGGTACCTACATTACTGTTATATTAGTACAACAATAATATCAAATTTTGAATTTCTAATACATTTTATGATATTATATTTTATTAGTACCTACTACCTACCCATAGGCATAATTTGAACTTTTAACTTAGGGAGAGCTGAATATATTAAAGGCAAGCACACCTCATTAGGTATATTTTTTTATTTATATATATATTCAAATGAATTGAATTTGCAAAAAAAGATCACAAATGGAAATAAACGAAACATCTAGAGACTATTATTGCACAGTGATTTACATACTAATAATAAGTATAACATTGAGAAATAGTTTCCTGATCATTATAATTATATACTTATAGGTATAAGTAGTGCAAATTTTAAAAGTTTAAATAAATTTGGATACATTTTTTGAAGTTCTGTGGTTGTAACACAGTAATAGTATTTTATCATGAAGTAAAATTATGAAAATTATTTTATCTGTTACCTAGGAACCTACCTAACTATAGTTTTATTTAAATTAATAAATAATTACATAACATTTGAATAATTTTGTATTTAATTCAATAAATAAAGTCAAAAAGTTGAGAATTATTTTATTACATAAAAAGGTAGAATACCTATTAATTGTAATATATTACATAATGTATTACAATATACCTATACAGCGTAGATTGAATATTATTGATCTTAGGCCGAATGCTCTACAGCAGTCGATAATGGCGTTCAGTACATAATTTGGTCGTATAGAGAAAAAAAACGTAGATTTGATAAATGACAATTTTCAATACAAGCACTAAGTATCTAATATTCAGTAATAATTAACAAATAACACTTACTCGATGATTAATATTATAGTATTATACGGTATAATAATCATGAAACAATGACGATACCATAAGAAAACTCGACACTCGTATTCTGGTTGTCCAGTCTATCGGTTTCCAATTTCCAGTTATAACTTAAAAAGTTAAACAAGTCACAGAACATGGAAAAAATATTATAGACACTGTAATAAAACTGTCGCACTGATACACTATGATAGTACATACGTATTTACACGGTTTGTTTGCTATTAACAAAGGAAAAGTTTTTTGTGTTTTTGTCGTCCATCGATGGTCGATGATCTGTTCTGCTTCTGAGTCTCTGATTGGTTACATATGCGTCAGTTGTAGACTGTAGTCACACGACATAATATAAGTTTTAACCGGCGGGTCGAGGTGGCGATCCGGCTTTGTAGGTGTAGGAACGGTCGGGGATGTGTAGAACACAATAATCAGAGAACTTGCTTATTGTTGATTTATTTAAAATGTATTACAATATTACAATCGCGTATCGTTTCGTCGACGACGGTTCGGCTAAAGCTGCTATTTCTAAAATTAAAATAGTCAAGTTAAGCGAACTATTGTTATCATTAAATATTTACTATAAAAATACAAAAAAAAACAAAATACAATACAAATATATACCAACCATAATCGTACAAACATTGAATATCCCCACTGGCCAGATTATAATTGTGAAAACCAAAATGAACTAATTACCTATAACCACTTATGAATTATTGCACAAAAAGAACAACGTAACTTGTAACTTCCATATAAAGTTATAAGAAAATTTGTGACAAGTTACAAGTTACAAGTTAAATTTAAAATGAGTAACTTTTTACAATTTACAAAAGTTACCGAGTTGCATAATATAGTTACAATATACATAATATGTATTTCCAATTTACTCATAATAATACGTGTTTCACATGAATTATTAATTTTCAAAACTATGCAGATTCCAAATAACGTGTTTTCGTTTATCCAATTTCTCAACTGTATTTGTTCCTAAGAATTATTATTTTATTTATTAATTTTCCAAACATAGACAGTTCCTAATCGTATTTTTTCTACATATAATTTTAAATAATAAATATCATTAATATGTAATTTTCAATTTTCTCTAGCCAGATATTAACGTTTCTAAAAAAAATGTTATGGTATCGGTGGTGCTCCTGTAAAATTCCATTCTAAATAATAAATATAAAATTGCCTATATCAAACTCCTTAACATGAGGGTATGAAGCGGCTAAGAATAATAGGAGACTTACCTATAGACTAATAGACTACGTTTATCGCGAATTAGGATTTATGTGCGTATTTTTTTTCCTGGGAAATACGGTCCGAGAGAATACGGTCCGGGAGTATACTTTCCAGATTTATACGGTCCGTGACAATACAGTCCGCATATTTTGAAATTCCGCGATTATACGGTTCGAACAATATTTTATTCCGCATTTCTACGGTCCGCGACTATACGGTGTACGTAATTTTTTTTCCGCGAGAATACGGTCCGGGATTATACTTTCCAGATTTATACGGTCCGTGACAATACGGTCCGCCAGTTTACATTCCGGAATTCTACAGTCCGTGAAAATACTTTCCGAACTTATACATGCGTCCGTTTTTTCTACAATATTTAGGGTTTGGATGTTTATGAAATTGCAAATCTATTTATTCAATTTAATGCTGACTTGGATAAAAATTTGATTCGTGTTCTACTGAATCAACCAATTCAATTTCTATTTTGCATATTTTATGGTTTTGTGTTTTAAATGCATATTTTGGAATTTAAAAAATATTTCAGTACATTTTCAAACTTTTTTTCTAAAAACAATTAAAACAATCGAACTGTTTAAACCAACTATAACCAACAATTTTTCATTTGTGTACAACTAATACAGTTTACCACGTATTAACATAGTTAGTACATAAACTAAAATGTAATATAAAAATTAATTTTCTGTGCATATTTTGCTGTGTTTTAAGCTAAAAATGTATATTTCATAATTTTTAGTGCATATTTCGAATGCATATTTGGTAATTCTTTAGTGCATAAATGCATAAGTATAACAATAATTTTAATTGCATAAATATCCGAATCCTGATTTATATTATATTAATTATTTAATAGAAATTATTTAATTCAAATCTGTAATTGAATATGCATGGATTCATAATTTTTAATAACAAATATATTTTAGTGTTCATTAAATGCCTTTGCACCTGCTATGGTTAATACAAAACAAATGTGTAGGAAGTAATACTGTAATAGGTATATAACCTGCAAAAAATAAAAACGATTAAATTAGATACATACTTTTGCTTTTTCGATATCTTTATTTAAATACAGTTCATTTAAAATTTAAAATTTAAAAAGAAAAATGTAAGTTGAATTGTAAATTGAAAATAAGTACTGCTAAACTATATAGGTATTATTGCAGGTATTAGTGTACTGCATTGTGCTGCCAATCTAATTTTCCTTTTGGGCTATCAAAGTATGTAGCCAAGTAATCTCGGACATCTCTTGCACTAATTGTTGACCCTCTAGCAAGGTTAGTTTCAGAACTAATAGATTCAAATGCACAGTGAAGTGTATCTTCATATTCTACACCATCTCGACGACGAACAAAATTGTGAATAACACATACTGCTTTTACTATCAATGTAGCAAACTCAGGTTCAACTAAAATAGGCGTATGAAAAACTCTCCACTTGTTCGCTAGAATTCCAAACGTGCATTCCCAATAACGTCTAGCTCGAGTGAGTCTCATATTAAATATTTTTTTCTTCAAATCTAAATTTTTTCTTGGGTAAGGCCTGAGTAAGTTTTCATGCAAAGCCTCGTCTCCAACTATTACAAATGGTTGTTTTACACCATCATCATCATTAGGTAACTTTTTTGGCAATGGGATGTCCAGTTGACGATCGTATAACTTTTTACCTAATGGTGACTTTTTGAAGACATTAGGATCTCTTTCACGTCCATAAGCTCCAACGTCTATGGAAAGGAAACAATAGTTCGAATCTACTAAAGCCATTAAAATTATAGAAAAAAAATGCTTGTAATCTGAAGTAGTCTGAACCACTTTTTGCCGGATTATTTATTCGAATATGCTTTCCGTCGACTGCAAGAAGGCAGTTAGGAAAATTCGCATTATTATAAAATCCTTCGGCAGTTTGAATCTTTGGTAGGTTCTGGCATTTCTAAAGGCTGTAAGTTTTTCCATATAACACTGAGAGTTTCTTTTATTATTACTCGAACTGTACTTTTTCCAATTAAAAAGTCTAAATGCAATTGGTTAAATGTAGCTCCCGTTGATAAATACCTAAAATGATAATTCTAAATTTTACATTCTATACCAAATTACCAAACAGTATAAAAATATAAAAATCGTATTAATTAAGATTGTAACAAAAAAATCTAAAATATTTTATAACATACAGGTACTCAGCTTGCTTTCCAGTAGAATTTCTTTTTTTTTGTCAAAGAAAGGAGGACTTAAAAGGAATTTTGCATTCTATTTTCAAATCTTAGATATTTATAAAAAATGTTTATGATTTTCTACCTCAAAATTATATATATATATGCACATTTTCGTGATTTTGACAGATTTTGTCATAGTTCTACCTTCAGACCATTATAAAAAGTGTTCGTGGATTTAATTTCAACATTTTTTTGGTTATAATTTTAAAATATTATATATGTGTACTTGAAACTTTTAAAATATATTAACTGTTATATTTTATACTCATAATGATATTTATTATTTTCAAATGCAATTTTCTAGGCAAAAATTAATAATTTCACCCACTGCAGTAAAGCTTAATAGAAAAATAAACTACTTTAATCACAATAATATACTTAGTAATATAGGTTGATAAACAGTCTCCACTAATTTTTTTTTTATTAATTCATAAATTTACAATATTATGCTATCATAATATCATCTTTAAAATATTATATTTTATAATGTAATATCGATTGATTTCAAATTTAACACTTTCTATTACAGTGATCCACTTATAATTTATAACCTACACAGTAGGTATGCAACGCGGTAGGTACCTATCTATTATATGTCACCTTTTTACACTTGTTTAACACATTATGAGAAAATGGAAGAATCTAAAAGATACATTTAAAAAAGAGGTTCAGAAATATGAGAAATCGGGATCAGCTATGACAAAAAAAACAAAATATTGTTATTTTGACAATCTGTCATTTTTACAACCTAATTTAGACGGAAGATCGTAAGTATTCAATAGAGATACATTTAATTAATCAGGAAATATCTAAGTGTCGTTTTAATTCAAATTTTTATACGTGACGTATTTTTAATTATCTACTTGCTAATATATTTAAATTGAAAATCCAATTTTTTTAGTTTTTTTTTCTATAAATATAAATTAAATGTTATTTGTTGGGTAAAAAAGCTTGAAAATTTAATACATGGCTCCTACTATATTGTTACAATGATATTTTAAAATTACTAAAACTCCTAAGTCACAGTTTTATTTAATAACCATTTCAAGTTCATATCTTGACAAATACGTAAATATATGACGAGAATTTCCAAATTATTTTAAGTTACAAATTTATAAAAAATTTTATTTTTAAATCTAAGATTTGAAAATGTAATATAAGATTCTTAATAAATTTGTCTATCTTTATGAAAAAAAAAATGTCTACAAGAAAGTCAAATTAAATTTTTATGAGCGTTTGAAATTCATATTTTTACAACATTTGATATTCATTCGATTTCTCATGTAGTTATTTTGTTGTAATTCAAAAACGAATAACTGTAGATACACGAAAATTTCACTGAATGTTTATAATATCATTTTATATACACCATACAATATTTAAAATATTTTGACTCTTTTTGAGCTGTGGGCATTGTCAGTTTACAATTTTTTTAGTTTTTTTTTCTATAAATATTAATAAAATGTATGAAATTTGTTGGGTAAAAAAACGTGAAAATTTAATTCAAGGCTCCTGATATATTGTTACAATAGCAGTTGAAAAATATTAAAAATACATATTAAAAATTTTTTTTATAGGCATTTAAAGCTCAAATGTTGACATAATTTATCAAATTTAAAATTTAATAATTATTTTGTGGTTAAAAATATATAAAATGTTCAAATCATTGAATTCAAATTTAACACCATCCATTACAGTGACCCACTTGTAACATACTGTACAGCAGAGCAACATCAACTTACCCACTTTTTAGAAGTTAAATATCATATTTTTATTTTATTTTATTGGATCTGCTTTCAGAATAAATATTTTTTATTTGGTAACTATATGGTATCAAAGGTACTAAATTATATACTGACATAAACTGATTTTTAAGTTTCATAACTATTTAGCGAAAAATAAATTATTTAAAAAACAAACATTTTGAAATTGATGACTATATACATTTTAAATAGGTAGATTTAAATAAATTACAAAGTATTTACTTTTTCACTTCCCTATTTATTTTATAGTGAATAAACATAAATTGCTTGTATAAAATTGAGATTTCACTGAAAAGAAATTGTATACGGAATAATATACCATAAAAAGGATTTTCTTTTCTTATCAGTAACAAATAATGAAAATTGTATTTAATTGCAGTACCTCAGGAAACATGACACACACTGAAAATGATAATTCGGCAGAAGAAATCAATGTTATAGATAACCCCGATTCACCAACGGCTTCAGACCAGGCAATGTCTCCCTGAAGTGTCCCCAATACAGTGCCTAAACAGTCGAAGAAAACACTATCTGTGTTTCAGGAACACGTATTGAACGCCATCGAGAAGAGAACTAACAAAGAAGAAGTTTTTGATGGAAATAAACATTTTTTGCTTTTTGTGTTACCAGCGATGAAGAGTATGGATGATCAAAATAATGCAACTCGTACAAAAATATACAACAAACGATAACCAAACTTCTCAGCCTTACTCACCACATCAACATTATACACCATCTCAGCCTTATACATAAACTCAGCCTTATACACAACATCAGCCTCAATTTCAACCATATATACCTCTTCAGCCTTACACGTATCCGTAGCAAACACTCGAAAAAACGGTTAGAGATAAAGAATATTCTATGGCTAATCAAAAGACAAACGATGTATTATAATTATTTTTATAGATGTCTACTATAGGTACCTATATATTATGGTATACCTATTATGTTTTTTTTTTATAATATTACAAGATGTAAAAGTTATTTTGATTTTTAAATATAAATAATGATCTAATAATTATAAAAATAATATACATACTTTATAGTAATTGTCAAACGTTCTTCTGGTGCTATTGTGTCATTTTTTAAATTCTCCATTTTTAATAAGTCAGATTTGACGATACTCAACAATTCATCAAATGTTGGCATAGACATTTGATAATAAGAAAAAAACTTTTCAGGATACACACGCAAATTATCACATATTAAATGAAACTGGCCTTTTCCCTTCCTTTCCTCATTTAATGGATGAACAGAATATTTTCTTTTCTTCTGGATCTTGTTCTCGTCTTCTTCTAGTGCTACAGCAATAGCCACAAGCTCCTCAGTTGTTAATTCACTTGTCATGTTCTTCGTGGTGATAAAAACGGTGAAAATGACTGTTTTGAATATATATATTTTTTTGTATATTTTAGCTGGTAAGTACCAATACTATACCCAAGTAGATATAACTACGACGAACACAACGAAAATGACGAACAAAAAAAAAAACGAAAAATAATGAACAGGTACCGTAAGTGCTTGCACATGCTATATGAATATTCTTGACGTCAAGTGCTAACCCCACCAGGGTGTAGAATTTTTATCATAGAATTATATTAATAACTTCGAAACTGAATTATGTCAAAATTATGGTATAAATATTTGGAAAATCGCGGCGAAAATATTGAGCGAATCCGTCACGCGAATTTGCTGTGTATCGCCAGACAGAACGAAAACTGCTCGACGAATTTCGCCGCGAATATCGCCGTGTATAGCCCCAGCCTTAATCCTGCTTTTCCTGTTTTCTGTAATTCAGTCACTTGTCTTGTCAGGCGTTGTGGACGTTATTTTAGTGAATACTGGATTGTTAAAATAATTTTACTACGATCCGCCATACTGTTGGTTCATTTTGTAATATCTTTAATATGAAGTGCTCATATTGTGGACGTGAACGGGATTTAAAAAAAATTAACTCCACAAACTGGAATCGGCATGTTAATTCATGCAAAATGAAATTTAAAGGGGCTAATAAAAGCCTGAAATCATTAAATTTTTTTATTAAAATAAATAAACCTTGTACCTCAGGTAAGTATCTAATTTATAATTATAATTTTTTTTAAATATTTAAATTTTAGTTTACAAATTTTCTGAATGACTGAAATAAATTCTATTTTTCTAGTACTTGCCTATTTAATTTAGTTAATAAAAATGTATTAACCTTAACCATAGTTATATTATGTACTTAGTTTAGAATTATGTTAAGAACATTGTTTTCGCTGATGCCGATCCTACGATTACAGGCAACGACTCGCGTTTTTTTTGTTGTTGAGGACAGGAGCGGGAGGGGTTACTCACACAAAATATAAAACTAGTACTATTTTTCAAATATAACAATACTACCGCCGCTGACCGTACAGTATATATATTATATAACAATATTATTTAGCATATTAAAAATTAATTAATAAAATATGCGGGCGCCCAGAACATTGAAATACGAAATATAATATAATATTGAGTACAACGACCTCAACTGCCGTAATGTATAAAAATAAATAATAGTAAATAAGGTAAATAATTTAACACTAAGGTCGCAAATTGCAATATACAAATAATAATGTTGATAATTGGCCACTGATCACGAATGGACGAAATATAAGTATGTCTGATATTATATGACCTGACAGCGACTGCAATTGAATGATCCCACGACGCGGAACAACAACCGTGGATGATGAAGAATCTCTTCGTCGATGAGTTCAAAAGAGAACTCAACTTGACACAACCCGATCACAGGTTGACAGGA